AGATTCCAGATCTAGGGTTTGGTTGGAGGAGTAGATCAATTTGGAGGCCCGTTTAGGACATCGTTGGTGATAAAAGTAGGATCTTTTTGGTAAAGACTCTATCTTTCAGTTTTGGATCTATTCTTTGTTCGTTGGTGCGTAAGATGTCGGGGAAAGAAGGTGCTTCGGGTGTCGAGGGTGGTGCTTCTGGGGCGAAGACCATTCAGAGTTTGAATATCCACTCTACGAAGATAGATGTGGAGAACTTTAATGACTGGAGATGCGAGGTTTTGGATGCGCTGAACGCGCAGAATTTGGAGGATACTTTGGAGTTAGATGGCAAGCCAGATGAGATTGAAGAGAAGGTTTGGAAAAAGATGAATCGAACGGCGTGTGGTGTGATTAGGTCTTGTTTGACTCAAGATCTAAAATATGATGTGATGAATAAGACTTCTGCAAAGAAGATTTGGGAGATTCTCGAAGGCAAGTATTTGACCAAGAGAGTGGAAAATCGCTTGCATTTGAAGAGGAGACTTTATCGTTTCCAGTTGAAGAAGGGAACCTCCATTAGAGATCACATGAACCACTACACAAAGCTTCTTGCGGATTTGGCGAATGTGGATGTCAAGATTGAAGATGAGGACAAGACGTTGCTGTTATTGAGTTCCTTGCCCGACGAGGAATATGAGACCTTCGTTCTTACTCTGATTAATGGGAAGGCATTACTTTCGTATAGTGAGGTCACCGCTGCACTTGTGAATTATCAGCTTCGAAAGAAGGATAAGGAGGCTTCAGTTGAGCCGGTAGCGGAGGCGTTGGTCGCAAGAGGGAAGGGTCCAAACCGAAAGAATTGGAAGTCACAGTCTAGAGTAGGAAAAGATCAGTGTGCTTGGTGCAAGGAGACTGGTCATTGGAAGAAAGACTGCCCAAAGCTCGACGAATGGATGAAGAATAAGCAGAAGGGAAAAGGGAAGCAACCATCATCAGAAGCAAACATCGTATCGGATGGTAATAATTCTGACTCTTCTATTTATTCACTTTCTATCAGTCCTACAGATAGCTATTCGGAGGAATCTGAATGGATGTTGGATAGTGGTGCGACCTATCATGTGTGCCCTAGAAGGGAATGGTTCTCCAGTTTTGAGAAGCTGGATAGTGGTGTGGTGTACATGGCTGATAACCGTGCATGCCAGATCCTTGGGATAGGAAGAATTCGCATAAAAATGTTTGACGGGACTGTTAGAGAGTTAAACGGTGTGAGATATGTTCCTTCTTTGAGAAAAAACTTGATCTCGATTGGAGCTTTGGTTGGAGAGGGTCTGAAGGTTCGTGTTAAGGACATGGTTCTCGAGATTGCGAGAGACTCTCGTATTTTGATGAAGGGCGTCAGGAGAAATAACCTGTATTACTTGACTGGAGGTATAGTGGCAGGTGGAGAGCTGACGACTTCTGTTGATTCGACTAGACTGCGGCATTTAGGGCTTGACCATTCCAGTATTGATTCCTCACATAGATTGAAAGAGGGTGCGAAGACCTGCAATTTGAAGTCCAGTGAACATGTTGATGTGAGCAACAAGACCGAGGTGAAGTGTGGCACCTCTATTCACCGTGCTAAGGGTCGTTCTGGAGGAGTTCACGTGGATGTTTGGGGGCCTTCCAAGGGAGCATCATTGGGAGGTAATAGGCGTTTGGTTTCCTTTGTTGGTGGCTATTCTTTGGAGAAAGTCCTAGTAGTATCCAACAGATTGAAGAAGTGTGTGATAGACAGAAAGGTGAAGGTACTCCATTCTGGTGGGAGGTACAAGATGGACCTATTTCTGTATTGGAGCCGAGCTCACGGTATTTCGAGATACTTCGTTGGAAAGGAAATCTTGAAACAACTAGATAAGATGACAAATTTGGAGAACCATGCCTTGCTGGAGGAGGATCGGTGTTTGTGGTCGAGCAATGGTTTGCAGAAGAGTTTCTGGACAGAGGCTTCGACATATTTGGGTCATCCTATTAAAGAGTTGTCAACTGCTGTGATTGAAGGTAAAACTTCATTAGAAGATAGGTCTGGTAGTGTCACCTTGGTTTAAGCTTCGATAAGGGAGCTATTTGACTCTCAGCAGGTGGAGAGTTTTGAACAGAACTTAGAGGTATCGCAGCGGGTGGAGAATGATACTACTCCACATTGGGTGAAGATTACTCCAGATCATTCTGCATTGGTTGGGATTCCAGCTGAGGTGACACGGCGCGGAAGTCATTTGGATTCGGATGCAGATGATGAGTTGGGTTTTGACTCGAGTGCAGCTGATAGATGCAGTTTGGATATGACCATTGGTTCACCTCAGGTGGAGGTGTTTGAGACCATTGGAGGTGCTATCAGCCGCAGAGTTGATGATATTGGAGAAGGGTTGCGAACTCTTCTATTGGATTGAGGTCATTAGCGGACATTTGGGTGAACTACGTTCGGCTTGATTCCTTGGGCAAGAGGATACGTAGGCAATCTTTATGATGCAGCCGAGTTTTGGATTTTGATGGGGGTGAGATCGATTTGGTGAGTTGATACTGACATTTGGAGAGTGTTTGCATTCTCATTTGGGTTCTCAGAAGATAAAACGTGAGGGTGATTTCTTTTGTTCCCTGGACAAAGCCCAAGACGTGTGGGAGGCTAGCATGAGCTAGTGGATTTTGGAGGTAAACGCATGAAGGCTTGTGTGTGGGGACCACGAGAAGCATGTGAATGCAAAACCCACGTGAAGAGATGGAGAGCTGGGACAAACCGCGTGGGAGGCTATTGCCCAGCGGGTTTAGGAGTGCTTCGTGAAGAGATTGCCACAAACCGCTTAAAAGTTGTTGGTCCAGCGGATACAAAGAAGGCCCACCCGAAATAATTGTTTAGCTGCTATAAATACCCATGCTAGGGTCCTAGGTTTCGGAGTGCAGGAGCTAGGAGTTAATTGACGGCTGTCTTCATTGGCGGTGCAAAAGAGGAGTGCAAAGGGGCAGAGAGCAGAAGAGCATTGGCGGCCGAGCAGGTGTTCGAAAGGGTTCTCGGCTGTGGGTTTTTTTTTCTGCTGTAGCAAAGAATTTCAAGAGGAGTTTTCTTTGTAATCCTTTTGTGCTTTTGTGAGAGATTAGAGAGTTAGTTTGAGGGTTTAGTTCGTGGGATTGTAAACCTTTTGTATTCTCTCTCTAATAGTAGATCCCCCCTCCTTGCCCCGTGGACGTAGGCAGTTTGCCGAACCACGTAAATTTGGTTTGTTTGAGTTTGTGGCCATTGTAATAGTTTTTAGGATCCCTCGACAGGTCAGTCCTAGAACTGATGAGAGGAAGAGCCGATATCCTACTTTGTTGAGATATCCGCATCAGATTCTTGTTTCCTTGGTGAGACGAGAATTCTTTTTGATCTTTCTCTCTTATTGTGCACCAGAAACTCTGCCGAAATTTCCGCTGCGCACAACAAGTTCTTCCTCGGTGCTCTTCACAAATCTAGACTCTTTCTCAGAGATGAATTGAGGTTTCTTAATTTTCTTATAATCATAACTAGTTTGATGACTCTCTAAAAACATCCATGATAAAGGTCGTATGTCGTTCTGTTCAAGTTCTCGCTCCACCTTCTTCGCTAGACGAACCATAGCGGCTAAGGTGAAAGAATCTTTTAAAGACACTTGATAGTGCTTGTAGTTAGAAGGTAAGAAACAATCCCTCAATAATTTCTTCATCTTTTCCCACCTTTCGACCTTCGGCTTTCCTTGACGAGATCGATTCAGACAAACATATTCCCACCAAGCTGAAGCTCCACCTTTGAGTAGGTAGGCCACCAATTTTAACTTACGCTCTTCTCGGATCCCTATATACTCAAAGAATATCTCTACTTCTGCAATCCATTCGAGGAAATTTTCGATATGAAGTTGCCCGTTGAAAGATGGCAAATCCATCTTCATCTTGAAACATCCAGCGTCGTAATTATCCCTTCGTCGTCGGTCTCTACGATAAACACCGCGGCATGGGGGTGCATAGGGATCTTCCTTGCTGTCGGATTCATCATAAGGAGTCAGATCACGTCGTTGGCGACCATCAACGCGATTTTGAACTCCCATCGGGTTCAGACGCTCCACTGCCATCATAAGTCGCTCTATGACAGCCCTCATCTGATCACCATTGGTCTTCAGTTGATCTACGTCGAACCTCAGCACATCGAACTCAGTTCGAGGAATAGGGGCTTCATCACCTGCCATCAGGTCAGAGGAACAAGGTTCTGATACCAATTGACGCAGCGCGGAAGTAGTAGCCTCGGAATCCACCAAAGGTGTTCTCTGAATCCACAAAGAACGATCTTCGAATCCATGAAGAACTTCGAATCCACGAAGAAAATGTTGAAAAGAGAAATTTTATTGATGAAAAATTATTCTCCTTTGGGGTTACATGACTCTTCTTAAATAGAAAAATAAATAAAAGTCCTACTAAGACTAGAATTATAAAAATAGAAAGTATCAAATAAGACTCCTAGTAAGACTAGAATTATAAAAAAAAGTGTTAAATTCTATCCAAAAAAGACTCCTTGTAATAGAGAAAACAAATCATGAATCAAAATTGATTTTGTTTTCTAATCTAATTTGACTCTAAAATTAAATTTATTTCCTAATCTAAATAAACCTCAACTCAGATTATGTGTCCTACATCAATTTTGGAGACGTCCACCGAGAGGATGTTTTTTTTTAAACTTAAAGAGGCGTGGGAGTCTAATTTAGAAAAGCTATGATTAGAATCTTATATAATACAATTAAAGAAGCTTTAGGGTCTAATAGGGGAAAAAAAAAGCGTACCGCCACTTTTTGTTCAGCTCGCTTGGCTTTTGCCTGCCATCTGAAATGGCGCGAAGCGCAAGTCCCTCACGAGTCACCACTGGCTCTGTCGTCAAACTAGTTGACAAAACAAATTAACAAAGCATCCAACTTTTCCACTAAATTCCAAACACTGACAAACCAACAGGTGTCAAACAACAAAACCCAAAAAACTAAAACAAAAGTAAAACAACGCGAGCACAAATGCATCGTCTAGGATTTATACCCCCATTACTTCCCCAGCACCCTCTCTCTCTCTCTCTCTCTCTCTGTGTGTGTGTGTTATTTGCTCAAATGGGCAAGCCCAAGCTCATGTCAATGGCAGCCCCTTCTTTTTTCAAGGTCATGTTCGGCGATTTCAGAACCAAATTGGTAAAACCCACCTCACCGTTGCGTTATCTTTCCCCCCGATTTATTTATCTCTATTTTTTATTTTATTTTTGATTTTTGATTCAGAAGATCCCGCCGTGTTTCAAGAAACATCTTGGAAAGTCAATCATGCAGAGGTCGGTGCTTCGGAGCTCGGCAGGCCGAGAATGGGAGATCAAGATGGGGACTGTCGATGAGCAGATTTTCTTTCAGGATGGATGGGACCGCTTTATATCGAATAATTCGATTAATTTGGGAGATTTCTTGGTTTTCTTTTATGATGGTGATGTGGGTTTTGATGTTAAGATCTACGGGACGAGTTGCTGCGAGAAAAGAGATGAATTTGATGTGAAGATCGAAGCAGAGTCAGAAGAAGATTATGACGCTAAGAGACCAACGAAAGTCATTAGAAGAAAGGCCAAAAAGATCACAGTAGACAAGCCGGAAGGGAGCGGTGAGTGATTTGTGATGGTTGTTATGTTTTACAAATTGGACACTTCGCAAATAATCATCTACATCTTCTTCAGTAGCACTTATCACCCCTCGACTAGTTCATTTATTGGCACTTCGCCTTGGGGTCGAACATTTGAGAAGTGCAAATCGAAGATAACCTCATTCTCCCCAACAAGTTTAAAAGGGTTAAATTGTTGATAGACCCCTGTACTATCGGGGTCCTGTTGTTGCTCTGTAGTTCTATTGTTGCAAATAGCCTTCCTTGGTGAAAATTTTCTTCTCTTTTTACCCTCAAAATTATTATTTTTGGACTAATAGATCTCTTGAGGGTTGAAGTGTAAAAAAAAGAGTTCACTCCAGGCTCTATCTACATTTGGATAATATCATAGGCAGCGACGGAGCCATAAACTTTATCTTGGGGGCCAATATACATAAGTGTCTCTTATTTATTTCATATAAAAAAACAATACTGATGTCCCACCATTTTTCTTTTCCATACAAAGATATTCATGATAGAATCCACACGTAATAAGTCACACCGTATATAAAACAATAAAACAAATAGAAGTATGTAAGAAACCACTTTCAAGTCTGAATAATGTCACACACATCATCACTTGTTTTGATAACTAGCTAAAAGCTTGTTAAACTCTTAAATAACAAGAAAATAAAATTAATTAAGAAGTGAGTCATCCATAGAGGTCATGGGAAGTCCAAAATTGAGGGAGGCCAAGCTCCTGCCCACGCCACAACCCCACCCAACCCCCAAAAGAAAGGGGGGAAGTGTATGTAGCTCCTCAAAAATAGAAATATAGCAATAGTATAAGCGGTCTATCTGCAGTTAACCCAAATTGAAAATTGAGGGAATTACAACTGTTAGTAAATTACTTGAGGAGTCATGAAGCGCTACTGAAGGTATAAATAAGGGTGTTATCTGCAATTTACGCTTACAAATTTGTTGATAGCGTTTATTTCGTGATGGTATTTATTTTTTGACTTTGTTGTTTGTAGAAACGTGCTATAAGATTTTTAGAGGGGCGAAGGTGAGTGACAAGGCTATGAAAGCTGCATGTGCCTTCAAGAGTCCTCATCCTCACTTCGTTACTACTTGCAAGAGCACACCCAGCTGTTACATGGTTGGTTGACTTATTCCTTAATATCTGTAATTGTATTTGTTAAATAGTCAAAGTTCTTTCTATTTGTGCCTTTCATTCTTTTTGATAGCTACGTTAGACCAAAAGGCCCTTGCCACTACACACAAACTCTAAAATTTTAGTGAGGTTCAGTTTTATAATTTTGTACTTTAACATGTTTCCGGAGGTTGAGCACTCTTTTAGGGGACGAAACTTGGACTCATGGAGTAGTATCTTTTCTTTAATCCACTTCAAATTCATGCCCAATAAGACTTGTATATGGGTTGCTCTGATACCATGTCAGAGGTTCATTCCATTGCACCAAACCTCTTCGTATGGGAGAATCTTTCTTGATCCTAGAGATCTCTTCTTCTTAACCCCATTGAAGAATTACAGGAAATCAACAAAGGAATCAGCAGGTAGAAGCCAGACAGATCAGCGGTCGACCGCCGCGATCGACCGCCAACGTGCACAAAGCCTACTGGGAATCGGAGCTGGTGGCGGTCGACCGCGAGACCTGTGAGGTCGAGCGCCGCGGTCGACCGTCGATGATCTGGGCTGGACCTTTCGGTTTTTGACCCGTTTCGTTTCTGAGTTGTATATAACTCAGAACCTGATTGTTTAGGGTTATGCAAGAACGAATTTGAGCAGCCTTGAAGAGAGAATAGTTGCATCCAATTGTGGGAAAGTTGAGAGAGATCAAGAGCTTTGTTTTAGGGTTTGATCTGAGAGATTTGTAACTCTACTTGTATTCTTTGATTTCTAATAGTAAGAACTCCCCCCCTCATTGCCTCGTGGACGTAGGCAACTTGCCGAACCATGTAAAATTACTTATTCTTGTTTTTGGTTGTGTTTGCATATTAGTTGTGATTAGTTCGAGTTATTGTTCGTGTTGCTCAGAAAGCTTCCGCCGCGCACAACAATTGGTATCAGAGCTAGATCGATAACATGGGAGATGCAAGCACGTCAGGTTCGTCTCTTACAAAGGCGATACAGAGTCTGAGCATCAATAACACAAAGATTGATGTTCCGAAGTTCGACGGCAAGATCAATTTTGGATTGTGGAGGTGTCAGGTGATGGATGCCTTGGATGCACAGAATTTGGAGGAGACTCTTGAGTTAAAAGAGAAACCCACAGAGTTGGAGGATAAGGTTTGGAGAAAGATGAACAGTAGAGCTTGTGGTGTTATTAGGTCATGCTTGACGCCGGATCTTATTTACGATGTTATGAACGAGACGTCGGCGAAGAAGATGTGGGAAACACTCAATGAGAAATATCTTACGAAGAGCATTGAGAATCAGCTTCACTTGAAGAAGAGATTTTATCAGTTCAAGATGAAGAGGGGAGTTTCCATCAGGGAGCATGTCAACAACTTTACTAAGATACTTTCAGATATGGCCAATGTTGATATTATAGTTGAGGATGAAGACAAGGCGATGCTACTTCTGTGTTCGTTGCTCGAAGATGATTATGGTACGTTCGTTCTCATTATGATCAATGGAAGAACTACAATCAGCTACAAGGAGGTGACCTCAGTTTTGATGAATTATGAGTTGAGGAAGAATGATGGTGAACCCTCCGAGAAGGTATCGGGAGATGCATTAGCAGTTCGAGGCCGAAATCCAAACCGTCACCAGTTCAACCGCTCAAAGTTAAAGAATAGGAGTACCTATAAGAGTGTTGGTAGAAATCAATGTCGGTATTGTAAAGAAAAAGGATATTGGAAGATTGACTGCCCAAAGTGGAAAGAAAAAGCCGGGAAGAATAAGAAGAAAGCTGCACAAGCTTCAGAAGTGAATGTTGCAAAAGCTATTGGTGAGCATTCAGATTCAGATTCTTCAGGCTATTCATGCCCTGCGTTACCGTCAGTTTGCTATGCGGATTTCACGGAGTGGATGATGGATTCGGGAGCTACATATCACATCTGTCCTAAGAGGGAGTGATTTTCTAACTTTGAGGAGCTGGAAAGAGGGGATGTCGTGCTTATGGGTAATGACCACGTATGTCCTATTGGTGGTATTGGTTCAGTCCGGATTAGGATGCATGATGGTTTAGTGAGGAAATTGAAGGAAGTGAGGTTCGTGCCACAGTTGACGAAGAACATCATTTTTCTTGGGACTTTGAAGGCAGCAGGATATCGAGTGATCTTAGAGGATGCTGCAGTGAAGGTCACAAAGGGTTCTATGATGGTGATACGAGGTGTAAGGAAAAACAACCTATACTACTTGAAGGGCAAGACAATTACAGGGGGTCTGGCAGCTTCTATTACTACAGAGGAGGACACTACCACCTTATGGCACATGAGACTTGGACACACAGGTGATAAGTCCCTACAGTCATTGGCAAAACATGGGCTATTGAAAGGTGCTAAGACCTGCAAGATGGAGCTGTGTGAGCACTGTGTACTGGGAAAGAAGACTAGAGTGAAGTTTGGCACCGCTGTTCATAACACCCGAGGTACTTTGGATTACATTCACACAGATATTTGGGGTCCTTCTAAGAACACATCTCTTGGGAGGGCCAACTATTTTATCACTTTCATTGATGACTATTACAGGAGGAATTGGGTATACCCGATAAAGCATAAACATCAGGTTCTGGATATTTTTATGGAGTGGAAGAAGAAAATGGAGCTGCAGACAGGTAGAAAGGTGAAGACTCTACGTTCAGATAACGATGGAGAGTACAAGAGTGATCTGTTTCTGCAGTTTTACCGGGATCACGGTATTAGAAGACACTTCACAGTTCGAGAGACACCGCAACAGAATGGGGTGGCTGAGAGATTGAACCGTACCTTGTTGGAGAAGGTGCGGTGTATGATGACACAGAGTGGATTGCCTAGATCCTTTTGGGCCGAGGCGGTAGTTTATGTGAGCCATCTCGTGAACAGGTTGCCGTGCACTGCGATAAACGGGAAGACTCTTTTGGAGCGTTGGTTTGGTTCGGTGGCTAGTGACTATGAGTCGCTTCGGATATTCGGGTGTCCAGCTTATTATCATGTCAGTGATGGTAAATTAAATCCGAGAACGAGGAAAGCAGTCTTTGTGGGATTTAGAGATGGAGTCAAAGACTTCAAGTTATGGGATCCGCAGGACAAGAAGATAGTTATTAGCAGAGATGTCATGGTCGCATATGTATTATCAGTGGAGATCGTTGACGATATGGTTTCAGTCACATTCAGGGAGGCAGAGTCTAGTCCCGATTCGATCAGGTGGAGGAAAGCTATGGAGGAGGAGATGCGGTCTCTTCAGAAGAACGATATTTGGACATTTGCACATCTACCTAAGGGTAAGAAGGCTATAGGTTGCAAGTGGGTATATGCGAAGAAGGTGGGATCTTCTATTGGGGACATAAGGTTCAAAGCCAGATTGGTTGCCAAGGGATATGCACAGCTTGAGGGCATTGATTACAACGAGGTATTTTCACCCGTTGTGAAGCATTCGTCTATACGGATTTTATTGGCGTTGGTGACACAGTTACAGTTAGATTTGGATTTGGTCCAGATGGATGTGAAGACAGCCTTTCTACACGGTGATTTAGATGAGGAGATCTACATGACACAACCACAGGGTTTCAAAGCTGCAGGAAAGGAAAATTTGGTTTGTAAGCTGAAGAAGTCTCTTTATGGTTTGAAGCAGTCACCAAGACAGTGGTATAAGAGATTCGACGGCTTTATGATTGGCCGAGGGTACACGAGGAGCCCATATGACCCATGTGTTTATATGCACAAGCTACAGGATGGTGAGCTCATATATTTGCTTTTATATGTTGATGATATGCTTATTGCTTCCAGGAATTCTTCAGCTATTCGAAAGCTGAAAAAGGAGTTATCATCCGAGTTTGAGATGAAGGATCTTGGAGAGGCAAAGAAGATATTGGGTATGGAGATCGAGCGAGACAGGGTGAAGGGGAAATTGAAGCTTACACAGAAGAGCTACTTGCAGAAGATGTTGAAGAAATTCAGCTTTGATGGCAATGCAAAAGCAGTTAGCACACCATTGGCTCCCCACTTCAAGCTTTCAGCGTTGATGTCACCTGTTTCAGTTGAGGACAGAGATTATATGTCGAAGGTCCCATATGCTAGTGCAGTAGGTAGCTTGATGTATGCGATGGTGTGTACGAGGCCAGATTTGTCACAGGCCGTGAGCATGGTATCGAGATACATGCATGACCCCGGGAAGGGTCACTGGGAGGCCGTGAAGTGGATTCTACGGTATGTTCGAGGCACCGTGGATGTTGGTTTAGTGTTTCAGAAGGATGAGAAGGACGGGCAGGCTTGTATTGGTTATGTGGATTCAGATTATGCTGGAGATCTTGACAAACGCCGGTCTACGTCAGGTTATGCTTTTACATTGGCAGGTGCACCTGTATGTTGGCGTTGCACGCTTCAGTCCACAGTGGCTCTCTCTACTACAGAGGCAGAGTATATGGCAGTTACTGAAGCTATTAAGGAGGCTTTATGGTTGCGTGGATTATTGGAGGACTTGGGGATTGCACAGGAGACTATTCATAAACGGGAAGACTCTTTTGGAGCGTTGGTTTGGTTCGGTGGCTAGTGACTATGAGTCGCTTCGGATATTCGGGTGTCCAGCTTATTATCATGTCAGTGATGGTAAATTAAATCCGAGAACGAGGAAAGCAGTCTTTGTGGGATTTAGAGATGGAGTCAAAGACTTCAAGTTATGGGATCCGCAGGACAAGAAGATAGTTATTAGCAGAGATGTCATGGTCGCATATGTATTATCAGTGGAGATCGTTGACGATATGGTTTCAGTCACATTCAGGGAGGCAGAGTCTAGTCCCGATTCGATCAGGTGGAGGAAAGCTATGGAGGAGGAGATGCGGTCTCTTCAGAAGAACGATATTTGGACATTTGCACATCTACCTAAGGGTAAGAAGGCTATAGGTTGCAAGTGGGTATATGCGAAGAAGGTGGGATCTTCTATTGGGGACATAAGGTTCAAAGCCAGATTGGTTGCCAAGGGATATGCACAGCTTGAGG